TTCATTTTATGAGCTCAGCATATCATAGGTAGACAATGATATCATAAAGAAAACAACAGATCAATATCCCTCATGAACATAGAAGCGCAAATTCTTAACAAAATATTAGCAAATTGAATCTGGCAGTACGTTTTTATGTATATATGTAGGTATGTATATGAAGGTTAGTAAACATTAGCCCAGGAGGTTTATTCTAGGATTACAAAGTTAGTTTAACATCTGAACATCAATATTATATATCATGTTAGTAGAATAAAGGAAAAAGACCTTAAGATCATCTCACTAGATGCAGGGAAAACATTAGACAAAATCTCACAGCCGTGCTGAGAACTCAGAATACTAGAAACAGAAGTGAGCTTCTTCAGCTTGACAAAGCACATCTATGAAAAATCAACAGCTCATATCATTCTTAGTGATGAGACCATTAAGACTGAATGCTTTTGGGGGCGCCTGGGTGGCTCAGTGGGTTAAAGCCTCTGCCTTCGGCTCAGGTCATAATTCCAGGGTCCTGGGATCGAGCCCCACATCCGGCTCTCTGCTTGGTGGGGAGCCTGCTTCCCCCTCTCTCTCTGCCTGCCTCTCTGCCTACTTGTGATCTCTGTCTGTCAAATAAATAAATAAAATCTTTAAAAAGAAAAAAAAAAGACTGAATGCTTTCTATCTAAAATCAGCAACAAGGTAAAGGTTTGTGCTCTCACCACTTATGTTCAACATTGTACTGAAGGCCAGTGAAATAAAGGGCATACATATGGGAAAGGAAGAAATAAAACTGTCTTTATCCCCAGAAGTTAGGATTCTAAATGAGTGAATTCTAATGAATGAATTTAGTGAGGTTATAGTATTTAAGATCAATACACAAAATCAACTGTTTTTCTACACCAGCAATAGCCAATCAAAATGAAATTTATAAAACAGTTCCATTAAGAGAATAAAAAAGTCAAAGGAATGGTGAGTCAAAATAAGGAATGAATTTTAACAAAAGATGCAGGACCTATGTACAGAAAACTGCTAAATATTGCTGAAAGTATCAGGAATACCTAATTAATACCTAGTAAATCAAAGGACATGGCATTGCTGTGGATTTGAAGGCTGTATTGTTGAGTGGGATTTTTCCCTACATTTTCTACAGATTTAGTGCAGTCCCAATCAAGCTCCGAGAAAGCTTAAAAAAAAATTTTTTTTTGGAAATTGACAAACTTATTCTAGTATGTAGTGGAAATATAAAGGACCTAGAATAAAAAATGTTTTTAAAAAGGAAGAACAGAATTGGAGGACCTGCACAACCTGACTTCCATGCTGTAGTAATCAGGGCGGTATGGTGCGGCATGAAGACGGATGTGTACAGATCAAACACTGAGAGTTAATGAACAGTCCCACGCCTGAGGGACAACCGGTTTTTGACAAAGCTGCCAAGGTTTTACGGGGAGAGAATAGTTTTCAGTGACTGTTTCTTAAATACCTCTATATCCCTTTCCTCACGTCAAACACAGAAATTAATTAAAAATGGATCACAGATCTAATTATAAGGGCTACAGCCATGAAATTCTAGAAGAAAATTTTCTGGAAAGAAGTCTTTACAGCTGTGGATTAGGCAAAGATTTCTTAGGACACAAAAAGCATGAGCCATAGAAGAAAAAATTGCTACAATGGACTATCAAAATTAAGAACATGGCTCATGGGAAGACACCATTAAGAAGATGAAAAGACAGTCCACAGTTTGGGGGAAAATATTTGCTGCATATTTATCTGGCAAAGGACTTATTTCTAGAATGTACAAAGAATTCTTAAGACTCTGTAAGAAGACTGCTTTTAAAAAGGGGCAAAAGAACAAAATAAGCTGTGTAAGTGGCCATTAAGCCTAGAAATGATGCTCAACATCTTGCTCATAAGATAAATGCAAATGAACATTGACACACTTTGGTTATAGGACAAAGAGGTAGAAAAAGGAATATGTAAGGTCAAAGAAAGAAAATTTTATTTGTTTTGGGATAGAATTGGCCTGAAAACTCAAATCTGCATCATTACCCCCAGTCTATCACTTTTTTTCTGGTTTCTTATTCTAACTGTACACACGCTGTATATATTTTTTCAATACCCCATCAGAACCTTCTCTTCAGTATGTTTTAATGCAAAACTGTTTCCGTTTTCTTCCTAAGCCCTGGTCTTTCACACTCATAATTTCACCATGAAATCAGACTCAAAATTATGAAGATATTTATTCATTCTTTCAGCAAACATTTGTCCTTTGGTACTCCTTATTAATTATCTACCTGCATCTAGACAGAGATACCAAGTAGGTGATTGGATGAGAGAGGCTGTGGCTGGAGATACAAATTTGGCAGTTATTGGTAGATAAATGGTTTTTAAAGCCATGTGTGTGGATGAGATTGCTGAGGTGTGATTGAATAGAAGAAGTCAAGTGACTGAGCCCTGAGGTAGTTCAGTCTTTGTAAGTCGCCCGGGTGAGGGTGGCTCAGCCAACAAACTGAGTGGAACAGGCAGTGAGAACAGTGTTTCAGAGGACAAGTCAGGCTATTTTAGAAAAGGAGGGATATACTCTGAACTGCTATTGATAGGTCAAGTCAGAGGAACACTGAGAAATGATTATTGGATTTGTCATTGTGAATGTCATTGGTGACCTTGAAAATACCATTTTCAGTGGATGATAACCTGATTGAAATAGATTTAAGAGAAAATGGAAGGAGAAGAAGTAGAAAAAAGATAGACAGCTGTTTGAGAACTTAACGCCCTTCGGGAAGTATTGGTCACTGGAAGACAATATGAAGTTGCAGACTTACTTTATTTTAAGATGGGAGATTTTATAGCAGGTTTGCAAGCTGATGACGATGATTTAGAAAAGCATGTCTAAGGAAGTTGGTGGGATAGTAGAGAGAAGGGAGTGGTGGGGTCCAGTGCACGAATGGAGAGGGTTGGCCTTTGCTAAGAGCATAGACTCTCGATTCGCAGTGACAGAAAGGAAGGCATTATGGTTATAGATTTAGGTTAGTTAACATAATTCTTGAGCTGTCACTACGTAGAAGGTACTATTCTTAAGAAACAAGTGTAAGTAGAGATAATAAATGATTTAACCAGGTTCCTATTTTTTGTACACCACTATTAGCATTTACTGTTTTTATTATGCTTTTTTTCATACAGTTTAGTATAGTTACATCAGAATGTGATACTTAAAAAAAAGTAGTATTTTTTAGTAGTTCTATCTGCAAGTCCCTTTTCTCTCCATTAGTTACAGTTAGATTTTAAGTTCCTTGTGGATAATTGCTTTCATTGTACTGAAGTGCTTCTGAGGCATACTGAACAACTCCCTGTGATCCTTGGAAGTAATGTATGCTGAAGATACACTGTACTTTATTTATTTTTTTAAATTTATTTATTTGACAGACAGAGATCACAAGTAGGCAGAGAGGCAGGCAGAGAGAGAAGAGGAAGCAGGCTCCCTGCCGAGCAGAGAGCCCGATGCAGGGCTCGATCCCAGGACCCTGAGATCATGACCTGAGCCGAAGGCAGAGGCTTTAACCCACTGAGACACCCAGGTGCCCCAATATACTGTACTTTATATAATGAGATCTTCATGTTGACTTATCATGGGAAGAATTATTGGAGATATATAAGTGATGTGTCTATAGTAGCACATCCCTTATTGTATTTCTTACTCTTCAAATAATTAAATAATTCATATTTTCTATGTACAAAATTGAAAATTTTTTCAAGTTAAGGTATGGTGTCATGAAATACTAAAAACTTGTATTTTTGTGTATTAAATTTGAGTTAAATATTAATGACTGAAAGTTAGAAGGTACAGTTTATTTTTCAAGTCTTCTGTGTGATTCTTTGAAAATTCTTCATTTTTACCTTGACTTCATTTTTTTTTTAAAGATTTTTATTTATTTATTTGATAGACAGAGATTACAAGTAGGCAGAGAGGCACGCAGAGAGAGAGAGAGAGAGAGAGAGAAAGGGAATAGGCTCCCTGCTGGGCAGAGAGCCCGATGCGGGGCTCGATCCCAAGACCCTGGGATCATGACCTGAGCCGAAGGCAGAGGCTTTAACCCACTGAGCCACCCAGGCGCCCCACCTTGATTTCATTTTTCTCCTTTCTGTATTCAGTTGTACTCTTTTCTTCCATAATGGAGGACAAAGTGACAATAGAGTCCAATAAGTTGAGTTTCAATTCTTTTTTTTTTTTTTTTTAAGATTTTATTTATTTATTTGACAGAGACCGTGAGAGAGGGAACACAAGCAGGGGTAGTGGGAGAGGTAGAAGCAGGCTTCCCACTGAGCAGGAAGTCATGATCCTAGGGTCCTGGGATCGAGCCCCACATCGGGCTCTCTGCTCAGTGGGGAGCCTGCTTCCCCCTCTCACTCTCTGCCTGCCTCTCTGCCTACTTGTGATCTCTGTCAAATAAATTAAAAACAAAAACAAAAACAAAACAGCACACATTTACTATTTCATGGTGTGTTAGGAATGTGTGTACACCTAAGCTGGGTCCTCTGCTTCAGTGTCTCATGAAGCTTTGATCAAGGTATCAGTCAGGCCTGTGGTTTCATATGACACTTGACTGAGGGAGGATCCACTTCTGGACTCACATGGCTTTGGGCCGGGATTCAGCTCCTTGCAGGCTGTTAGGTTGAGGGCCTCAGTTTCTTGTCTTGGGGCCCTTTTCCTATGTCAGCTTTTAACATTGCAGCTGCTGCTTCAAAACCAGTAAAGCAGAGAGTCTCCTCCAGGCTCAGCACGAACAGTTTTTTGTAATGTAATCGTGTGTATATGAGCATTCTGTCTCTTGGTTAGAAACAAGTTGTAGCTCCCATTCACACTCACGGGGAGGGGTCATGGAAGGGCATGCAATGCTCTAAATTAGTCTGTCTGCCACGACTTGTTTACTGTATCTTAATATAGGATGAATATTTCTCTTATTCTGTAATTTTTGTTACTTATTTATATGTAGTATTAACTTTGGATTTTTAATTTTTCTAACCAGATTCCATTGGCCGTGACATCCCCAAAATGCTTGAGTTATTTAAAATGGGACATGAAATTAAGGTAGATGAAGAAAGGGGGAACTTTCTCGAGACCAAAATAGCAACAGTAAGTTACAATGGAAATTATTAAATAGCCCTCTTTGTTTTGCTTGAGTGACTGATAATTTATAATATAATATGCCTCTCCTTTGAACTTGTTCTTGGCACCAGCATCAGGAGTAGCACTAGGTACGCAGACAGACAATTTTTTTATTCTGTAGATTAAACTCGTAAATTTTAATGGTATTTGAGAATTCCTTCATGTGCCCCTCAATGATATAATATTTTTGCTTTATTTGATTATTCCATGTATGTATTTTTTGCTCTCTAATATTCTAAGTTTATTGAGAATAGGGTTAGATCTTGTATATCCCTATAGAACATTGCATAAGGCTAAGCCCATAGTAGGTATTTAATACTACTATCATGGAATTGAGTAATTTGCTTTATTTTTATGAATTGTTTTGATTATCCTTCCTTGTGTTTTAAAAACTGTATACTTATAGAATATGCTGGAAATCAACTTTCAAAGCTATTTTTTAGACTCTGATGTACATAGTTCAGGTTTATAGGACTTTGTTTTTAGATATACAGTTATTTGCTAAAATCTTCTTTATGCTAAGGGATCTCTAAAGTACTTTTTCCTGTTCAGTAACTATAGAATAATAGTGATATTGATAATAAGATTTAAGCAGTGCCCAGGAAGTGCCAGGCACTCTTCTTAACGCTCTTCATTTCGTATATTTTCTCTCTTAATCTTCAGCACTATGAGAGGACAAATTATCATCCCCATTTTATGGATGAAGGCCAAAGAGGTTAAATAATTTTTCCAAGGTCTCACAGCTGGTATGAGGCAGAATAGGTATTTGAGTGTTGGCAGTCTTCAAGACTCCAGGCTCTTTGCCCAAAACCATCTTGCCGCAGGCCTGGAATTATTTGAGTAGCTGTTACTCCTCTTCCCGTCCTGCTCTTAAGAGGGATTCTGCGTTTTAGCCAACAGCTGGTAGTCCAAGCTAATTTAGCTGTGCCCACTATAGACTATCAGAAGTAGAGAAAAGCACTCAGCTAGTTTTATGGAAGGAAAACTTGCTTTAGAAAGAGGGCATAACAGTTTAATCCAGTCAGAGATTGGGAAAGCTCTGTCTGCTGTCATTACTTCAGAGCTCAGCACCAATTGCATGGCATTTTGGTCTGCTAAAATCTGATGTTGCACTTTCCTTATTTCCAGAAGGCCCTTGGCAGTGCTCCTTGTTTGTTAGAGATGATAACATTGTAATGTGAAAAGCAAATGAAAAAAAATGGAAATTTTTAGAAAATACTCTAGAGCTGTAGAGACTTCGTTCTCTACAGAACTAAGAATACCTGTTCTGCTACTTATGGGATGGCAGACTTAAAACAAGTTTCTTAAAATGTTGTGTCTTGAATTCCTGAGCTATAGAATTTATATACTAAAGAGAGGGGAGGGGAGAGTGGCAGAGGGAAAGAATCTTTATGCAGATTCCCCACTGAGCGCACAGTCTGACACAGGGCTTGGTCCCACAACCCCTGACATTATGACCTGAGCCAAAACCAAGTAGGATGCTCAACTGACCGAGCCACCCAGGTGCCCCGTTGGTGATGTTTTGGTTAGACTTTGGGGGACTATAGGACATCTTTATAAGACTATTTTTTTCCAGGTGGATCTTTGCTTTTTGTTAAGTAATGTTTTCAGAATATTCAGTAGTTAATAGTTTATGTAGATCCTGACTCAGTATATAAGAAACTGGCATCTCATTTATTCTTCTCAACAAATACCATGGTGCTTAAGTGATTACAGGAGCTCCAGGTCAGACTACTTGTATCATTTAGAGGTAGAATGCTTTTTCTTAATGAAAAATAAATTAATTTCCGTTAAAAAATTGTTTTTTAAATTTTTTTATTTAAAATTTTTTTTATTTTTTGAGAATCTTTTTTTTTTTGAGAATCTTTTTTAATACTACTTAAATATTATAGTATTATGTAGTATAACAGATTAAGAGAGTGGATTTTAGATTTATACTGTCTGGATTCAAATCCTAGTTCCAGATTGGAATTGTGTTCCATTGCTCTCTGAGCCCCATTCCCCATTTTCCCTAAATGCAAAATGACGTTAATAATGATGCATACATTCTAGGCTAGGAAGGAGTAGTTGAACTAATGACTATAAAGCAGACTTCTACTTCTGGCTAACATGAAGTAACAGGGACCTGATCACTTTTTCACCTATGATAGTCAGCATTACCTCGATACCAAAACCAGGCAAAAAAATATAGTCCGCTATCATTCATGAAAAATGGATGTTGGGGCTCCTGGGTGGCTCAGTGGGTTAAGCCTCTGTGTTCGGCTCAGGTCATGGTCTCAGGGTCCTGGGATCAGGCCCAGCAGAAAGCAGGGAGCCGCTTCAGGATTCGCCCTCTCCCTTTGCCCCTCCCCCGCTTGCTTGCTCATTGTCTGTCTCTAAAATAAATAAATATATCTTTAAAAAGAAAAAAAATTTAACATTCACCTGCTAGATGATCCACATTTCACTTTTAGATATTTATCCACAAGGAATGAAACCATGCCCATACAAAGACTTAGGAACAAATGCTTATGACAAAAACTGGAAACATTTCACATGTCCATTGACAGGTGAATGTATAAATAATCTTTATTATATCTATATAATAGAATATTCTTTAGTAATAAAAAAATTGATAAATGCTTTAACATGGATGAATTTAAAAATGATTATACTGAGTGAAAGCCAAAGGTGTACATATTGTATGATTCTGTTTCTATAAAATTCTGGCAAATGCAAGTTTATATAGTGTACTAATGTATAATGTTACAGCAAACAGACCAGTCATTTCTGTGGGCATAAGTGGATGGGGAGGGGTGGGAAGGAGGGATTACAAACAAGCACACAATTTGGGGGATGACTGACATGTGTGTTATTTTGACTCGTGAGGTTTTCGTGAGTATATGCATATGTCAAAACTTAATAAATTGACACTTTGAGAATGTGAAACATAACCTGTGGAAAATTATTCAGCAAAAAAGAGAAATGAACTGTGAATACCTGCTCTGCTGTGGATGATTCACAAAAGCTTTATGCTCAGTGAAAATCAGACATAGAAACCACATACTATGTGATACCATTTATATGAAAAGGCAAAACTATAAAGCAAAAAGTAGATGTGTGGTTGCCTTGGGCAGTATGGAAGCAGTAAGTTTAGGCATTAAAAGTAAATGCATGAGGGATCATCTTGGGGTGATGAAGATGTTTTAAAACTGACTTATGGTTATTGTTGCACAATCTGACAAGCTTACTAAAAAAATCAAGAAACATAAATTAGAAAATGGTAAGTAATATGATATGCAAAATATACCTCAATCAAGTTAAAAATGTTCAGTGTATCGAGTATACCTCAATATAGTTATTTAAAAAGGAATAAAAATGTTTTTTTACAATTGTATTAATATAAGTATTTGAATTTTATTTATAATTATCAGAGATAAAAAAGATTTTAAAGCAAAGTAGTATATCTTTTTCAAAAGTTTGAGATTTCTGAGGGATGTTATTCTTTTTTAAGATATATTTATTTATTTGAAAAAGAAAGAGAACACAAGAGGGGGGCGGTGCAGAGGGAGAGAGAATTCCCAAGCCGACTCCCCACTTGGGGCTCCATCCCAGAACCCAGAGATCATGATCTGAGCCAAAATCCCAGAGTTGTTTTCCCAACTGGCTGAGTCGCCCAGGCGTCCTGAGTGATGTTATTCTACTATATGGTTGGAAATATTGAAGGTGTTGGTTTTTTATTCATTTATTTTTGCCACCTGTGTGATATGAGGACTGAACTTAGAAGGAATATGCAGCTAAAGGAGCACTGACAGCAGCACATGCCTATTAGGGGTCCTCATTGTGGTGTATAGAAGGAAGGAAGGTATCTAGGTCACGGTCAAAAAACTATAGCCTGTGGGCCAAATCCAACCGCGGGCTGTTTCTGTACAGCCTGTGAGCTAAGAATGCTCTTTACAACTTTAAGGGGTTCTAAAAAATAAAGAATTTGCTACAGAGATTATTTGTAGCCTGCAAAACCTGAAATATTTATATTCTGGCTCTTTAGAGTAAAGGTTTGCTGACTCCTGATCTAAAAAGATGTTTTTTGGAAGAGTGAAATGTATTAATTTTGTGTTTGTGTTTGCCTGTAGAAGAGAGATCTGTCTTACTTTAGTTAAATCATTTTGACACCACTTGTTAGGGTTCTCAAAAGGTCTGTACTGCCACATGGCTTTGAGATCCAGTTCTGGTATTGGTGTAATATGAAATTGATCTTGGTTAGTTTCAGCCGGCTTTCCTTCTGTATCAAAGTGATAAGCATAATCATTTGAATGATCTTTCTTAATTATCTGACTTGAAGGTTAGTATCTTGGGTATTAGCACTCAACTTCTAATGCCCTTGTATCTCAAACCTATACAAACACTCTTATAGCCAGCCAGTATCTTACATTTGTCAGCAGTGTGACTTACAGGTAAATTAGGTTTTTTTGCTAATCTTTCCTACAATTTGTGCTACAATTTACACATTCATGAGATTGGTTATGACTGCATGCTGTCAGATCAAATGCTCATATCAGTGAAAACGCCATTTATTTTTAGAGAAAATGTATTTTTATATATTTCTTTCATTTGTGGCTAAATATTCTTTATTTTCTTTCAAGTTTTTTTTTTAGTTATTTAAAAATGTTTTTTTTTATCTTTCAAGTTTTTATTCGTGAAAATGCCATTTAAATTATATGTTGAATATTATGCAAGCACAACAGGTTATCATTGGAATATTTTATTTTTCAGTCAACTGACTATCAAGTAGTCACCATTTTTCTTTTTTTCAGCATGAATGGTATGTTGGTTGGGATAAAAGTAAATTCCTAAGTGACCAAATTTAAGGGCAAGATTTTATTTTATTTATTTGACAGAGCATAAGCAGGGGGAGTGGCAGGCAGAGGCAGAGGGAGAGGGACAAGCAGGCCTCCCACTGAGCAGGGAGCCAGAGGCCAGGCTCAGTC